TTTTAGTTGTGAATAAGTTATTCAGTAGAAAAGGCCTAAACTTTATTTACTAGTAAGCATTTTATTTTTGAAATGTAGCCACCAGGCCAGCTTGGGCAGCTTAGGCTCGTCCGTAGCTCTCGCCACTCCCTACCCAACCCCAGCAATGATTCAAATCCAATATGGAAAGTTACTTATTAAACCCTAGAGGTATCGGGCCTGGGAAAGCCACTATAAACTTTGTCTGTGGGAGGATGGATTTCTTAATGAAACACAGAGCCACCATCTCAGGAAAACAAGAATGGGCCATCACCACGTAAGTACTCCCTGCCGGCGGGAATCTGTTTTCATGTTGGTTAGCCTGTGGAAGAATTTAAGCTATAAATGCGTGTCTGACGCCTTCAGACTTCGTTCTTTTGATTGCCCTTTACTGTCATTCTTAGCAATAATACCAGAGTGGTAGAATGTATTTGGAATATGTTTCTACCCCATTGGCCAAAAAAACCTCTTAGGAAGCGCTACAAAAAAAAAAAAAAAAAAAATGTTAAATGAGCCAGTAAATAGTCTTGCTGAAAGGAGTACAAGTCAACCTGAATTTGTGGAATGAACAAGGAGTACAAGTAGTCAACCTGAATTTGTGGAATGAACAACTAAAATGTTAATTTGTGGCAAAATGGTACAAACCTTCATAATTATGCCCATGCTGAGATTTGTAGGAAATGTAAGTCCATGCTGTAAGTGTCTGTAATCTAAAGTAAAAAGACTCACGCAAGGCCTTATGACGTGGGTTGCAAGCTATTTCAGTACTGAAAACTATTTCAGTGTTATCTCTAAGCAGCATCAAACATCCCAACATTTGCAAATATCTATGAGAAAGCCTGAATTTTTTCCTGTGCTAAATTTGATAACTGAACTCAGATGTCCCACAAACCCACACATATTTTCCTCAGAGAACCATTATCTTTTAGGTCATCTGTAAATAGCATTTTCATGCTTGCCAACATTATGAGCTCTTCAGTTGGTGTCTATTCCGAGAAACTGAAAACTACTTTGCAAATATTCCTGATGGATTCCAAGGACCTCAGAGTAGTGGCTGGCCCCTGCATTGGCAGGTTGGGACAACAGTGTTGTCCTGTGAGATCCAAGCCCAGGGGGCAGCTGGTCTTCGAGAGCGTGGGGCAGCCTTTTTTGCAGCACCAGTCTGGCAGCCAACAGTTGCCCAAAGGGACACCCGCATCACAGGCAGACTCATAGCTTCTGAGCCACCAGCCCGGGAGCTAGGAGCTGGGGACAACGATGCTCCTAAGCACTTTCCTTCCCTCCCAACCCAGGCTCATGTCACCTGCTTCACAGCCCTCTCCAAAGGCCTGTCCCAGTAGAGCCTCTGTCACCCTTCAGTCTGGAAATTCTATCATCAGGTGTGACTTCCAAGCAGAGAAACCATCTCCCAGAAAATGTCTGTTACAGTCTGCCGCTAAGAGCCAGGCATGGCGGTGCATGTCTGTAACGCGAGCGCTCGGAGACTGAGGCAGGATTTACCGGAGTTCAAGGCCAGCCTGGACTACTAAGTGAGTTCGGGGCCAGCCTGGACTACTAAGTGAGTTCAAGGCCAGCCTGGACTACTAAGCGAGTTCAGGGCCAGCCTGGATTGCAAAACAAACAAAAACATTTGCAGCTAACATAAGCACGTAACATCCTAGGATCTCAGCAAACCTTCCCACAGCATCCCATTACCCACCCTCAGCAGGTGCAAGAGGCTGCACTTCAGCCACTCTGACAGTTCAGAACACAGTAAGGCTCATAGCTTACTGAATAACTAAATGCAAAACCGCTTTAAAGGACAAACTGTGCCCTCGTAATGCCTTAAATTAATCATATTATAGAGTTAGTTGGGTGTGAACAAGCTAAAAGAATGCTACTTTTGAAGGAACTACAGAACAAAATTACAAATCAGGGCCAGGAACAAAGCTCGGTGGCCTAAGCAGCTGCCTTTCAAGCACAAGGACCTGGGTTTGATCTCCTGTATCGCATGCTGTGCCTGGCCAGCCCCGGGAGTATTGAGCCAGCCACTGAGTCTAGGCACAGGCCAGTAATCCCAGCTCCGGGGAGGCTAAAGCAGGAGGATCACTGTGAGTCTGAGCTGCATAGTGAGATCCTGTACCAAATATATAAATTTAAAAAATAATTACAAATCAAATACAGTGAAATTCTAGTCCATGACATTTGAATGTATATTATTGGTTTGTGTAATGGATAGTGCTATTTTATCTAAGTAAATGGCTGTATTCAATGGAAGGAGCTCTGATTCTTATAGTTGCCTTTGTGTTTTGATGTGGTCTGGATCTAAATTTTGATGTGGCCAAACCTCTTGGTTCTATAATGGTTTTCCTGTTCAACTTATTGAGAAAACTTGATTCCTAATACTTCATAGAATGCCTTCTCTTGGCTCAAGTGTGATTTTTGTGAAGCTTCTCTCCCTTCTCTGTTCTTTTATTCTGATAACAATGAAATAAAATTTAGCATGTGTAAAATTATAAACAACAGCAGGCACTGAAGTCGTGCGCCAGCGCTTGGCGACCCTGATGATGTAGCGTGCTATGTATTAATTTTTAAGTTATTATGAGCATTAAGTGTACTATTTTAAAAGGCTCCTAGAGAGGTTTTAAATTTCCAAGTAGACGTCCACAGACCAAGGTCCACAGATAACTATCTGGCAAGTACTGCTGTAGAATATGGGGCAGGAAATACGTTTTCCAAGGTACTAGACCTAGAATCCAAGCCAGTTCTGAAATCTGAAACTGAAAGTCGCTTCTGCTCTCTGTTCCCCACCTCTGGTCTTTTTTTTTGTATCATAAATTTTCTTTTTCAACTGAAGGACTTACTGATGGTGACATACTTAGAGTAGTAACAACCAGGAGACTGGGTTATGATCAACCTGAGTAACTATAACCTGCTGAATCATACAGGCTTCAAAGAATGTGTTTCCCTGTGGGGTATGTCCCTGGGCTCAGGGAGATTCACTAAGGAAACCAAGAGCCACAGGAAAAAAATGTGTTTGGCTCCTCAATCCCGTTATTTTCAAGACAATCACCATCCAGAAGAGAATAAAGATTTGTGCTTGCTGACCTCGCCACGGGAGTGTGGCTACAGATTATGGACAGAGTAGGGAGGAAGCAAGATTTCAAGGAGCCGTTGAAAATATGAAACTAATCGCCAACTCGTAAGGGCTTGTGATTCTGTGACATTATTTGAAGGCTGGTGAAGAGGCTCCAGAGAGGACAGTTCCGCTTGCTGCCCGCGGCGAAAGCTCTGGCTGAGCAGCAGCTCCACAATGCCTGGGCATTGGTCAGAAATACGGGTCCCCCGGGGTACACCAGACCTCTGAGTCACAGTGTACGCTCTAATAAGATCCTTAAGCAAGTCTCATGCGCGCTAATATCTGGGAAGATGCGGATGAGGAACAAGGAATATTGGGCTTGCCTGGGGCGTTCTGAGGGCCTCTGCTGCCCGCGTGCCACCCCGGGGGCTGGGTGGGTTGGCCTAGTGGCCCTTCTGGGTACTGGACTTGTACATGCTCTCTGGGTAATCCCAACGTGCGGCTGAGTTTAAGGAACCCTGAATTCAACACAGCACCACTAACCTTCCAGGACAGCCGCGCACGCTGTCCGTGGAGGCAGATGTCACTAAGTGTTCATGAGTGTGAGCGCGGCAGTAGCTGTTCAGAGCCCGAGAGCACACCCACTAATGACTTTATGGTGCCAATGTTTCACCAACATAAATATTGTCTAAAATGAAGACAGCTGGGGACAACAGCAGGTGAACTCCAGCTAAGCTCTGGTGAAATTGGGAGTGGCCTGACAGGTGGTGATGAGACCAAATTCCTTGGAAAAGAAAAAGGAGGCTGGGGAGACAGGTAAAGTCAAGGTGGGGAGATTGGGAGCCACGCAAGTGCGGCTCTGGCCAAGCGTGTGTCAGCCACACACTGGGATGCCAAGCCTAGAAGACCCGCAGTGAGCCTGAGCAGAAACCAGACTGGCTGTAGAGTGCCACCTTCCTTACCTTTATCATGGAATGCCTCCGTGAGTGCAGGAGGAAACAAAGACTTCTGGTGTCAAAGTACAGCTTGCCCTAAAGCATGCCTTCTTCATGTAAGACGAGGCCCCACTCAAAGTCCAGCTCCACTTCAGATGCAATTGTGTGGTCATAGCTATTCGATTTCTTTTTTCTTTT